GTGAAAAGTATAGGCCTATTCAAAGACAGATTAGAAATAAATGAACACTATCCAGTTCAAAGAAAAGAAGATTATATATCCAGAGACAATGAAAATAATTACCATTGCATTTTCACTCTTTCCCATGAAAATGGGTCCCTTACATCTCATAAAAGGATCCACACAGGAGAGAAGCCATACAAATGCATGGAGTGTGGAAAGAGCTTCAGTTTTAATAGTTCTCTTAGTGTTCATCAAAGGATCCACACAGGAGAGAAGCCATACAAATGCATGGAGTGTGGAAAGAGCTTCAGTTTTAATAGTTCTCTTAGTGTTCATCAAAGGATCCACACAGGAGAGAAGCCATACAAATGCATGGAGTGTGGAAAGAGCTTCAGTTTTAATAGTTCTCTTAGTGTTCATCAAAGGATCCACACAGGGGTGAAGCCATTTAAATGCATGGAGTGTGGAAAGAGCTTCTGTAAAAAGAGTTATCTTACTGTTCATCAAAGGATCCACACAGGAGAGAAACCGTATAAATGCATGGAGTGTGGAAAGATCTTCCGTGAAAACTCATCTCTTACTCTTCATAAAAGGATCCACACAGGGGAGAAGCCATATATATGCATGGAGTGTGGGAAGGCCTTCAGGCGACACAGTACGTTTAATTCCCATAAACGGATCCACACAGGAGAGAAGCCATATAGGTGCACAGAGTGTGGAAAGAGTTTCACTAACAGCTGTTCCCTCACATCTCATAGAAGGATCCACACAGGAGCGAAGCCATACAAATGCATGGAGTGTGGAAAGAGCTTCCGTGAAAACAGTTATCTTACTGTTCATCAAAGGATACACACAGGGGAGAAGCCATATAAATGCATGGAGTGTGGGAAGGCCTTCAGGCAACAGAGTAAGTTGACTTCCCATAAAAGGACCCACACAGGAGAGAAGCCATACCATTGCATTTTCACTCTTTCCCATGAAAATGGGTCCCTTACATCTCATAAAAGGATCCACACAGGGGAGAAGCCATATAAATGCATGGAGTGTGGGAAGGCCTTCAGGCAACAGAGTAAGTTGACTTCCCATAAAAGGACCCACACAGGAGAGAAGCCATGGAAGTGCATAGAGTGCGGAAAAAGTTTTGCTAACGGCCGTTACCTCACATCTCATAGATGTATCTACGCAGGAGAGAAGCCACATAAATGCATGGAGTGTGGAAAGAGCTTCTGTCAAAAGAGTTCTCTTACTGTTCATGAAAGGATCCACGCAGGAGAGAAACCGTATAAATGCATGGAGTGTGGAAAGAGCTTCCGTGAAAATTCTTCTCTTACTCTTCATAAACGGATCCATACAGGAGAGAAGCCATATAAATGCATGGAGTGTGGGAAGGGCTTCAGCCAACACAGTAACCTAATTTCCCATAAATGGATCCACACAGGAGGGAAGCCATATCAGTGCACAGAGTGTAGGAAAAAGTTCAGTACGAGCTCTTCCCTCACATCTCATAGAAGGATCCACACAGGAGAGAAGCCATATAAATGCATGGAGTGTGGAAAGAGCTTCTGTGAAAACTCCTCTTTTACACTTCATAAAAGGATCCACACAGGAGAGAAGCCATATAAGTGCACAGAGTGTGGAAAGAGTTTCACTAGCAGCTCTTCCCTCACATCTCATAGAAGGATCCACACAGGAGAGAAGCCATACAAATGCATGGAGTGTGGAAAGAGCTTCTGTGAAAACTCCTCTTTTACACTTCATAAAAGGATCCACACAGGAGAGAAGCCATATAAGTGCACAGAGTGTGGAAAGAGTTTCACTAGCAGCTCTTCCCTCACATCTCATAGAAGGATCCACACAGGAGAGAAGCCATACAAATGC